ATAGAGAAGAATGGAACAGAAAAACATATTATGGCGACCCCAAATAAATAATTGAGATGAGAGTAGGAATTATGAAGATTATGATTTATGAAGTACATTAAGTGGTCTTAGCGCTAAAGCAATCTATTCTTGACAAACTTTGGATGGAGGAGAAGACACAAAAACGCTATATATATATATACATATATATATATATATATATATATATATATATATATATATATATATATATATATATATATATATATATATATATATATATATATATATATATATATATATATATATATATATATATATATATATATATATATATATATATATATATATATATATATATATATATATATATATTGATCAGATCGAATCAGAATATTGCTGTTTTCTATGCCGACTGCCAGTTGACTATGTTCTAATTATGATTAATGTATCACTTACTGGACGTTTAAGTTTTTTTATAAGGTTCAAACCAGGTTATATTAGAAATCCTAGTAGAGATGTTACGTGTATCAAAGATCCCATATCATATTATTAAGTATTATTTTGTAAATTTACATGGATTGTAAGATATTATTTTATTCCATGAATAAATAATTTGAAAATAGCATACATATACCTAAAGCAATCATATATTATTTTCAATTCCTTATCATTGTCAATATCCAGCGTAATAATAATAATAATCTAATATAAATCAACTTTGTTCACAAATACCACATCCACAACTAAACACGTTATTCGTTCCGTGTAACCCACATAACCTAATCGTTAGCCATTATGTCCTACCAGAACTAATTCTATGGCTTATCATAATTTCAATCGGCATTCTGGATGACTTTTGTATGACAAACCTCTGTTTTCTTATACGCTTATTAATTTCGAGCTAGTAACAGTACTGCTATGAATTTCTGTGATCATTAAACGGTCATGTTATATGAGACAGTTCACTCAACTTTGTAAATTATACATGAACTAGCCATGTGCACGAGAGCATGCATCATCAGCAGCTTCTGTACAAGAAACTTCTTAATTAACATATTAGAGAAATTCTTTCTTTTAGGGGATAAACTTGTAGTTTTTTTTTTAATAATGCATAATATATTAATAAAGTCTTGACTAACTGATTGGTTTGCTTCAAATTCGGTATATATGTATGTTGCAGTCAAAACACTTAACCAGTCAAAAGTCCTTTTGACCGTATTTTCTCTTTTCGTCTTTTGAAGCATACGGTCAATAACACTTTTGACTAAAATAACAGTTAAAAGTATCTAACTTAATCGCAAATTTGCAATAAAAAGCATTAATAACCAATAATTTTCATTCAAAACCACTTTTGATCAACTTGTTGAGTCAAAAGTACCTTTGACTGGCTAAAAAATTTGACTGCAATATATACACAATTACACATAGATACATTATATTCTGGGTTATCATAATATATCATGTATGTCAAAGGAATAATTTAACAAAAAACATTTGCATGGGTACTTCTGTTCTACTCGTGTTTCTGTCACTAAATAGCTGTGCTTGCACGATAATGTTACAATTTGAGGGGTGGGTTATTGAATGAAACGTGGAGAGGTCTCTGTAATCGCACTCATACTTGAATTAACTGCATCCTCCAATATGTCTTATACCTGTCGTAACGACATATAGCCATAGTAGGAATCCATTCAGAACCTCAACATTTACCGTCGACTCGCCATTTCCTGAAATTAAACAATTAGTTTCTCAATATTCCACTATCAAAGTCATCTAGGAGCACACGGCACAGGTCGCCTACGCATACAGCTTAAATCTTTATGCCCAATAACCTATTGTTCGGTACAACAACAGCCTTTAAAGCAGTCACGGCTGCTACCATATTGGCGTATTGAAACCTTACATGGTACGAACCTAATGACCTATGACATTTCAACCAGTTCCCGCTCCCTTTCTGGCTTATCACGCGGGATAGAGACAACCAATCCCATAACAGAATATCAGTTTATTTGTTTTCTTCGATTTGTAAGTGGCTACGATTCAGTCGAGTACTAATGCTTTGTATACGCGATTCTTTTTATGGGGTTTCCCATAGGATGAAATATAACCATGTTCTGAAAAATATATTTTGAAAAAGTTGGTGTAAATCTTAAAGCTTAGGTAGAGTCATTAGTATTTTAATTTCTTATTAATAATATCCAGCCTATATTCGATAAAGTAGCTTTCTATAGGTAAAACACCATTAACGATTTAAGTAGATTTGATGTAAATCCATTACGTGTGATTGTACTATTGTGACATGGAGACCCTTAGTACAGTATTACATTAAAAGATCTCGGATCACAATGTTATTAAATTCGTTTTAATATTAAGAAAATGTATAATTTTACATTCAAATACATACACCTAATGTTAACAGAAATAAAAAAGGGAATGACGATTTAAAACTGCTAGTTGACAAATCTATTTTTTATACAACTTAGAACGACAAATAAGCTGACGGCCCACCTAATGGAAAGTGATAACCGTCGCCTATAGACATGAGCAGTACCATGGACATAACAGAGTATACTGTTACGCCCTTGATACCCCCCATGCGTTGTTATTCCTGAGGACTCAGATGTTATTCCTCTGTACCCTATAAATTCACTCCATATTTGATAAAAGATAATTTAAATTTGAAAAAAATGTAACTACACACAAATATACGAAAATTCAATTCCTTTTCCTGTTTATAAAATTAGTTTAGATAATAAAACAAACTTTTATGTTTATTGGATTATTTGTTTTCTCACAATTTGGAGAAAGAAACAATACCCAGTATCTGCCAAAGGAGCATTTAATGACCGTCTTTATTTAAGAAGGACTTGCCTGGCGCCTGTCCTTTTAACGCTACTTCAAACGTACTCAACTTTGTCTCATCATTCGAATGGTAATTACTTTATGTCTAAATTCCAGCTTAATGAACTATTAATATGTTATAATGCAAAAAACTAATATTAAATAAACAGAGGATTCATTTATCAAAACAGACAATTAAATAAACCTAACAAAGTATTAATTTTCACCGATTACATTGCTCTTACCAATAATGGCATACAAAATTATACACTAAAATGTGTCCAATCATTGGCCGAAAGTGGACTTAAGTACTTTAATAAACGTACTAAGTACACTTTGGACCAAAATTATTGGGCAGTTGAATATAGTGATTTGTTTGCTCTCTAAACGGTATCATGTGAATAATATAGAAGAAAGCCAGTACGTATACTAGTTAATATCCAAATATTGATGATTATAAATATAATTTATCATATGAACGATAACTAAGTGTATTATATGGTACTTTTTATGCAGTGTAGTGTGTGTAGAGATATATCACATTTTATACAACTTGGAAAGACGACGTTGAATGTAAAAGGGAAGTCCTAATAGTACCTTAGTGATAAGTTTTCAATGCTTGTTTCTGTGCTAATAGAAATCGGGCTATATTTTTACTAATTATTCTCAAAATAAATAAGAAAAAGGTAATATAAAAAAATATAGAATATTTTTCAATCGAGTAAACTTGATTTTAAGCATTTTTGAACTTTTATATATATATATATATATATATATGACCCTTGCATATTATACCAATATGAGTACAAAGCGTCATTATATGAATAATACGTAATATGCGTACAAAAGTCGATTGCTTGGGTACCTCTGTCCCATTTGTGTTTCAACCGTGAAACATTTGTGTTTGCATGGCTGTGTTTCGGTTTGAAGGGTGGGATATGGCGTGAATGTACAGGGTACAGAGGAATAACACCTGAGTCCTCAGGAATGCCAACGCATGGGGGTATCATATCAGTATACTCTGTTATGTCCATGGTACTGCTCATGTCTATAGGCGACTGTTACCACTGTCCATCAAGTGGGCCGTCAGCTTGTTTGCCATTCTAAGTTGTATAAAAGAATATATTTTTTATTAAAGTTTGATTAGAAATTTTTCAACTTGATTCAAACCGAATTATATGTTTTAACTATAGCAATTAAAAGTGTATGAATTACTAATTCAATTTAATAACAACAATATATACTTAAATAATTCAAATCAAAGTCAGTATCACTTGACCGTTACAGGCAAGTACCTACTCGAATCTGATTAGTTAGAACAAAAAAGGAAACTAATTATCACATATGACGAGAAGTGTATAAGGTATATATATTAGAGTCCAAAACTGTATATGGATATCAGTATACATATATACAGTGTATATAGTGCTCCTCCCACAGCCTTGTATAGTGATTTCAAACTTTTAAGTGTGGCTATTGGCGTGTGTATTTGGTAATAGTGTTTAGCATACCATTTTTGTTGTAAGTTACACTCGGACCTTTTTTGGAAAACCAATGAGTGGTGAGTGTATATACATTCAGGATCTCTTTGCAATATGAGACGTGCATATTGGTTTGTACGTGGTTACAAGATATATTTTACTGTATATACATACGTATATTCGAGATAAATACCTACTACTATATTTTTGCAAGATAAGCAACATATTTATTATAATATAATACGAGTGATACCTTGAAGCTATCGATAGACATGTTTTTGCTACTGAATATACGATATATATTTTTTTTCATATGTACAGATATTTATTGATAGAGTCTGGTATTGTGGGCTATTTGTGTTGCTGGCCGCTTGTTGCATAAAAAATGCGAATTTCCTAATGACAATAGTAAACTATAATGCAATGTAGTGTAAGTCTTCATTTAATAGTATGTCTAATTGCCAAGCGTGGCAACAATTGGCACAACCCTCCAAGTGGGAGGTTTATGTTCAGCAGTGAACAGTTAAAGACCGATATGATGATGATGACAGCATCATGAAAACACAGCTACTGCACGACAGAAACAGGGATAGGGGTACCCATACCATCGGAATTTTGTAAAGAATCTGGCTCTGATAACATCAAGGAACATAGGCAATAGTTTAAAATGTGATATATGTATATAATTTGTGACAGGTGAGAGGCTGGTGAAGCTGGAGTGGAGGACAGGGTCGCGCTAATGATGCGAAGGGCGCGGGCGCGGGGGGACGCCAGCCAGAGCGTGCCACTACCACATCTACCGCCGCCATCCAGCCATCATGTTCACCAGGTGAGTACACTCAGGGTTTTAATATGACCTTAGCCCATTGATACCCAAGAAATCCTAAATGTAAAAAGCAGCATCGAAAATAGAGCGCATTCAACTAAATTATGCATTCATTATCTATTCAGTTGATTATGTTACTTTTAAAAATCTATTAAAATATGGTGTCTATTTAGACATAGATGTAGTTTTATATTATATATAAAAATCTCGTGTCACGGTGTTAGTGATCGAACTCCTTCGAAACGGCTCCATCGAATATAATGAAATTTTTTACGTATAAAAAAGTTAAGTATGAGAATAGGTCGTAGAGTATAATTACGTAAAATTTATACGGCTAGGTGATTAGGGTATTCCTATCCAGAAAAAAAAATGTGGCAGAACAACGTTTGCTGGATTAGTTAGTATACAATAAATTTTTGAATGCTCTCATTCCTAATTCTGTTATAACTATTTTTTTTTTTGGGTGATGCATTTCAGTGTGTATTAAATAAGTAATGAATACATCAAACCGACAAAAATATCACAATAATATATATTTATTTTTTAAATTTGTCTGTCTATATATTTATTCCGGTTTCCACAGTTGTGTTCCTGAAGGTCGATCTTAAAATCTGCTGTGTGCATATTTTCTCTTGATACATTACCTAGTAGCGGTCTATTTGATTACTTTTTCCACTTCCAAAATCTACGCATACACAGTTACGCACAAAAGTTAGATTACTTTATAGAAAAATTATATTTATGATGCACGATTCGTAGATAGGAAAAGAGCGTACAACACAACAGATTTGTTTTTGTGACGGGTGAAATTGGAATGGTAACCCCGCCTGCGCTAACGGGATACACTGGCGGAGCATCAGTGAAGGGTGATAGATGACAATGAAAACAGGCCAGTTATCCCATCATGGTGAATTCATCAGGAATTAACCATGATAGTTTCCAGTGGGAACCGCGAGGAGGTCGACCTGGTTGGTTATATTGCTAGTAATGGGATTCTCAGTCTCCATTACTAACAATCCCTTTACCTGATTTATCTGATGCTGTAAAATAGAAAGTCGCATACATATTTTTTTCCACTAAATATTATTTACCAGAGGAAGATTTTGTACAAAAATATGGGTACCTCTGTCCTACTCCTAAAAGCGGTAGCCAATACGCCTGCCAAGCGTGGTAACTAATGCTAAAACCCGTAAGAGGAAGGCTTATTTTCAGTAGTAGACAGTTAAAAGCTGATTCTTTTTTTTATGTAACTTATAATGGCAAACAAGCTGACTGCTCAACTGATGGAAAGTGGTAACCGTCGTCTATAGACATGAGCAGTACCATGAACATAACAGAGTATACTGTTTCGCCCATGATACCTCCATATGCGTTGCCATTCCTGAGGACTCAGGTGTTATTCCTTTGTTCAATGTAAATTCACTGCCATATCCCACCCTTCAACTAAAACACACCCATGGAAATACAACAGCTTCACAGTAGAAACACGAATAGGACAGAGGTGACCAAGTAAACAACTTTTGTACAAAGTTTCCCTCTCGTGTTTTGCCATGAAGTATAATATAGATATACAGATCAATACAACAACAATTTAATTTTTTTTTTCACCGCATAATTGCACTAATGCTATATAGCACTAAGTCCGCCTTTTATACCAAAGATTTTTTTGTAATGTAGTCAATAAAGAATAAATAGATTAAAATTTAGGAGAAAACCTGGCATTCTCTTTTTAAAACTAATAATGTACCGTTGCTATAGCAATCGGTTTGATTCTTGAAATCAAATTATCATAATGACGTAGCTCCGTCACAATGACGTTTTAAGTGTTAACTTTATCACTATGTACCGAAAGCTATGTACCTACTAAGTTTTCGTTATTACACAAATTAGAACATGTCTACGCGATATTTCATCACATATTGATACAAACAATAATAACATTTCGCAACAGATCGATTGTACGCCGATTTATATTTCATTATCACAATTCTCAATTTGGCGCCATTTTTTGTGACGTTTCTCCATGATGTCTAGATGGCGTCTGGTTCGCTTTTCTTACTGTAATTGCAACCTATATCGTCTATTGAGTCGAATATAAATCAGATAAATATCTAGATATAGCCAAAAATGTTAGCTTTTTTGTCTTGTGCGAGTAAATTAAAGCTATTGTAAATCATATATACATAGATTAATAGGCAATGGAGTCGATTCTGAGGTGGCACTTTTCTAAACTTATCACTTAACCTAATATTTTTATTTGATAATTTTGCGAAACCACTGTTTTATGGACGATCATAAATTAAAATTGTAATAATTTTTACTTTATTACAAAATTAGGTCCTTAAAATAAAGATTTCTCAGTGATATCAAACTGAAACATTAACTTTAGAGATATGGAAATGGCACTTCAGAATCGACCGCATTGTCAATATGTGCGTGAATAGAAAAATCCAAATTATTACAGCGATTGTGTACTTGTTATAACAAAGTATGGTGTACTTTGTTTTAATAGTTGATATAAAAAAATCCTATATCTATTTATTTGTATAAGAATTTATATGAACTAAAATTAAATGTTACACAGGTTGTAGTTATAGCCATTTTTTCTAATTTGACAAAAGTAAGTATTTAGATACCTAACTATCATACCGTTTATTCTTAATTGAAATAAGTAATTGACGCTATTTCTTTTTTACATATTTTGGGATTTGTATTAAATAATATTATTTATGAAAACATATGTATGGAGACTATAGCATGAGGTCCTCCAAAAAGGGCGTATTAAGGTTATTTTAAGGCTCGGTAACGCGCTCATGATGACATTCCTGATGTTACATGTGTCCATAGGCTACGGTAACTCCATTTACCATCAGACGGTCCGTATGTTTCTTTGCCACCGTAGTAGTATAAAAAAAACGTTTTCATATACAAAGCATTTTTTTTTTCCAAAATTTGATTTTAAATCAAACATCTTTATTAATAAAATCATAATTATTATTTGACAATAGAGTTTATAGTTCTGATCTATATGGCTGACCATAAACTGTGGTCTCTATGAACACAGCGATTAGATGAACTAATTCCGGGAAGACTCACTAATATATAACATGTATACTTATTTATTTCATTTATTTATGCTTTATAGACCACATTAAAAAAAAATGTCTGGTACAAAAGGCGGACTTAATACTATATAGCATTCTCTCCCAGTATACTTGGGTATACATTATCTTATTCTATATGTATCTAATACAGACGACGTAGCGGGACCCCAATTGTCTCAAATAAGATGCCATATCATTATTATATTCAAGCAGAGCGAACTTTGGGGCAACGATTCGAGCATACCTCAAATTGTCTACAGTTTTTTTTTTTTTTTTTTGTATTCGCTTCAAACCACTCAAAATAACGTAATGCGCGTAAGACCATTACAGAATTAAAGGTATGCGTACACTGCGACCCTAACATTTGTTACGTCTCTTACCATAAAGTGTATAATATATTATATGTACTATGTAAATAAATGATAATAATTATAAAGCACGTAAAACTAGGTATACCTATATATTGTGTCCTCATTTATTCAATATGTATATATTATATATTTAATATATATTGATTTATGTAGATTTATATATGTATTAGTATAGTATATTACATCACTACATAGTATAAAACAAAGTCGCTGTCGCTGTCTGTCCGTTCCTATGTATGCTTAAATCTTTAAAACTACGCATTAGATTTTGAAGCGATTTTTTTAATAGATAAAGTGATTCAAGAGGAAGATTTATATGTATAATACATGCATAATATTGTAGAGAAACACTGATAAATTTAGAGGTTTCTAATGTGACGTGATGTAATATGTACCCGTGCGAAACCGGGGCGGGTCGCTAGTATATAGATAAAATGATATGATAAATTTTGTAGTTACATACTTATTGTTGTTTAGATTTCTCTTTTACATTATTGCTTTCCACTCACTATTTCCTATACCACTATTTTTTTTAATGGGTGAGATTGAAATGGTAAAATTTTTCACGATTAAAGTAACTGATTTAAAAATACGAGCCGCGATAGCACCACTGTACGTTGATCATTCGCTCTCGTTTAATGTTGGCTATTTATATTAGGTCGGAAGATGACTTGCTCTTATTGCGCCGCTAAAGCGGCCATTTTTACCGAACCGTCTCGAGATTACTGGACGACATCCATTACGGGAGTCTAGGAGAATTGATGGCGTTTCAACTATTCAAGTGATTTGTGTAGGTATTATGAGTACTTGTTTGTACTTTACGAGTTTACTTGTTTGTTACTCTATCTAAGTGAATTCTCAGTATTAAGAGGCAGAAAGGCAAGAAGTCCTATATCGTAATAGTTTAAGATCCCGCGACTGTTTTCTGCACGTGACAAGTTTTTTAATAAAACTTTCGTTTAAATGAAAGATGAATAATGTAGTCAAGTTACCTACCGACATGACTTAAAGGAAAAATGCTATACTTAATGGTATAGCATAATTTTCGAATGGCAGACATAAAATTTAATGGTTTCTAAAAACCTTGTTAATTGGCTCTCAATTCGATTGTATTTTTCTTAGGCTAAATGCCTCATAACTATATCAATTACAAACCGGTTTAAAAAAATCCATTTTATTTAAAAGAATATACTTACAGATAATTCCCACAGAAATTTTATCAAAATTGATTCAGTAATTTTAAATCAAAATAACTGATTTTGCCACTACTGAAGTGGTTATTTTTGTGGAACACAATCTTTATTATTGATTTTTTTCATACAACTTAGAATAGCAAACAAGCTGATGGCCCACCTGATGGATAGTGGTAACCGTCGCCTATAGACATGAGCAGTACCATGGACATAACAGAGTATACTGTTTCGCCCATACCCCCCATGCGTTGCCATTTCTGAGGACTCAGATGTTATTCCTCTGTACCCAGTAAATTCACGCCATATACCACCCTTCAAACCGAAACACAGCTATG